AATATTAATAACAAATTCTTTATTGTAAATACAATTACATAAATATAAATATTATATTCAAAGGCCCGAGTTTTTTTTTCTTCTGGACTCGTCTGACTTGACTATGTGTCTCCGAATAACACTGAATATTGGCTTATTTTTAAGTTTTATTTTAAATTTCTTAATATTAAATGAGCCGACATGTTTTTAAGATTTGACGACTTAAATCATTCAAAATACGACACTTACATACTTAAATAGAATATGTAAAAAAATAAATGTAATTTTTTGAATCAATTTTGTGCATAATAAAAAAGTTTTCAATTTTTTGCAAACTTTAGTATTACCCAGAAAGAACTGCGATAGCTTTATAAAGAGCTAGCACGCCTTAAATTCTACTCTATTTACGCCGACAGATGAAATATGTCTGACAAAAAGGATTATATCCTTAAAGAACTCTGTTTTGCAGCTCCTAATTCTGAATTAGAAAAACATAAGTAAGCTGCAAGCTATAAGTATTGCAAGTTTATTAATCATGTGTATAAAAGAGACATTTTAAATTTAAATTAGAAAGAAATAAAAAAAGAATTTGTTAGAGGGTTTATGGCATGTTACTCCCAGAAAATAACTGCATACTTGCAGAATTAACAAGGAAAGACAAGTTGATCTAGCAGTTTAAAAGAAAATATAGAATAACAGGTTCTCGGTGTTATGATCTTAATACTTACACTAAAGACACTCCAAAAATGATTGTAAACAGATAAATAAAGTGAACTTTTATTCATATTAAATCCTTTATTTGAATACATAGACATTTAAAAAAAAATGGTTAATGGTTAACAAGATATTTAGTATTATATACTGTCTTAAATTGATATGTTTTAGATTTGTTCTACATAGAATTGAGCATGAAGGTGAGGCTCGACAGACATGCATAAATGCAACTAATGATATTATTATTGTAGAGGAGACAGGGTTGATTATTTCAAAAATAAACATATTAAAATAATAAACAATACAGGTGAACTCATAAAATTATTAGAAATCAAATGTCCATTTATAGGTTTGGTATTTTGTACATTATTTTTATAATAATATCAAGAATTATGCATTTTTTGTTACATTATCAAATACTTAAATACACTTCAAAATCGTACATTTAGGAAAGCAGAATTTTACAAATCATGTAAATATTTAACTATAAATGTGAAGAATGAAGTTATTTAAAAAAAAACACCAATATTATGGTCAAATTCAACTGGGTATGGCCATTTTGAATTTGCAAGAATGAATACACTATAGGTATTCCAGCAAATTTAAAAAATTTAATTATAACTGTTAAATTTGATAATATAAGAGGTATGTTAATTGCACATCGTTTTAATAAGATATTTATACAGGAGTGTAAAATTGTTTAGATCTCTTAAAATGTTTTGGAAATATGGAACTAAACTTTAAGATAATAATAAATAAATATTCTTTTCCAAAATAGGTACCTAACCAAGCTCCTGTCTTGAAGTAAACATTCAGGTAATTATTATTTTTTAATTCAATTCCTACTTTAATGAAATATGAGTTTTACACTCATTTGGGCCAGACCGATTCTGCCTGGTGAGCACTCGGCAAGACGAGCAATATGACCCGCTTTTCGTTGTCTTGTTTATATATGGATAAGCAGTCTATATAAACTATATATGTCATTGAAGCAGAAGCGGATGATTAAAACGCACCTGATATTTTGCTTGCTGCTGTCAGTGTCAGTGAATATTATTTTTGAAGTCACAGTTTATTGCTAAAGAATCAGTTAGCTCACTCGGACCAGTTGAAAGTTCCAAAATAACATCCACTCCAGGGATACAAATTCAGGATACGCAGAAGACTGCTGCTTTATTATAGACGGTTGTCATATATTGTATTATCCGAGTTGCACAGTGTATAAACTGAAATAATCAGTGGGGCACATACTTTGATTTTCTTTTACTATACGGAGAATGGTCACACTGCGCAGCTTTCTGAGTGCCTTTTAAAAGCAGATAGAAAACTCCGCCATTTTGAACCCTTATTACGTGTTGCCTACATCCTGGCGCAATATTTTTAATGGGTTCGTTTTAATCGTCCGCTTCTGCTTCGGAATTTTCGGTTTTCTTGTTTTAATCTGACAGGTTAGAACGACTGAACCGACAATTCCGGAAGCAGAACGCACCTGATATATTGCTTGCTGCTGTCAGTGTCAGTGAATATTATTTTTGGAGTCACAGTTTATTGCTAAAGAATCAGTTAGCTCACTCGGACCAGTTGAAAGTTCCAAAATAACATCCACTCCAGGGATACAAATTCAGGATACGCAGAAGACTGCTGTTTTATTATAGGCGGTTGTCATATATTGTATTATCTGAGTTGCGCAGTGTATAAACTGGAACATTAAGATAAAAAGTGCCGATGCAGAGTGAGCGATCTGATTCTTTAGCTATAAACTGTGTCATAGGGTTCAAAATGGCCGCGCCCTATGTTGGGCGTGTCGGACCTCTCTCTTGCCCCGTATAGTAATCAAAGTATGTGATGTGGGGTCAATCACAATTCACAAACACCTTAATTTTAAATAGGTAATTGTACAGTACCATGTATGGCACATCATTATATATATGGTGAATGAGAATTTAACCAGAAAAGATCGGAAGCCGGTATCTGTCTGATCAAGAACTCACTACGCATTGTAATAGGGATCCTTACCCTGCATTGCCAAATCAAAGGACATCCTAGTAAACAGAGTAGTAGAAGATAGTAGGCTCTTTTGTTCGCTGTTGGTGCAGTGTCCTACACTGTAAATTACACCAAGTTACACCACCTTATTTACCATAGTTTACTTCCTCCTTATTCCTTATACACATGTCGAGTGTAATTAACTTCTGCTAAATAGCTTGATGTTTATGTGAATAGATGAAAAATTGCCCGCATTATTTAAATGCGGGCAATTAATATTTAAATAGCATGTAGCCAACAATATATTTGAAATTCAGTTAAGTTTGCTGTAGATTTCCGTTAAAAATCCGTTATATATATTTTTTTTTTTCGTTAACAAAATCCGTCAAATTAAATATGCACTAAAAAAATTAATCTATGTACATTTTATCAAATTTGGGCAAACAAAAACAAACCAAAATGTTGCTCAAAAATATAAATGCAGCAGCTTGTGGATCAAAAGACCAGGGAAGAGTAAAAAAAGTTCATCATATAAAATTAAGGCGGATTTTCAGCAAAATAGCCAAATTCATATAAAATGCGGGTACGTTCATAGTCGGACGAACTAGGGGAGTACTTGTAGGGGTTCGCTTTTGTACTTTATACAGATAAAAGTTTTTCGTGATATTATTATATATAATTTTTTGTTAATTATACAGAATGTACCTAAAATTGGACCGTTTTGGGAGATATTTGATGAAAAGTACTAAATTCATTTTTTTTTGTTTTGACCGGGATCATGCGTTGGGACGCAGATATAAAAAATGTGAAAAAATAACATTTTGGATTTTACACTGTTTTAAAATTTAATTTTTTTTTTTAATTTGACAACTTATGGCGCCTGCCATTAAAACTAGTCTCGTGGACTAACCATTAATTTTGTTTCGATTAAAATTTAATTGACACGATTTCGAGGAGGTTTTATGTGAAGGGGCAGCTGCCTATTCACGATGCTTCTTTTTTACTTTCCTGTCTGTATACAGATTAGGAAAAAACTATTTTCACGATGTGTAATAATAATAATCTGCATGTGTCTGTATAACCGATAACTCATAAACGGATACAGAGAAAAATGCCAAATATTAAACCTATAAATAAGCTTAAGAAAGAGAAATTTTACAAAACGTACCAAATTCGAATTTTTAAAAATAATTGTTCAAATAAAAGCTGCTTGTAATGTTATTCCTCATAATTTTTGTCCCATAAATAATTTTCCTAAAATGGTCTGTGTTCGAGAAATTTGACAAAAAGTGCAAAATTCGAATGTTTAAGAAAAATTTTCAAATAAAAGTTGTTTGCTATACATTCTCTATAATTTTTGTTTTATATATGATTTCTCTAAAATAGACCGTAATGTAAAAATTTTAGGAAAAGTGTAAAATTTAAATTTTTCAGTATGTGCAAAATGTATAGGTTGTACAAAATAGCCGTAAAAAGTTTATAGGAACTAGACAGGAAAGTTGGAAAAATCAGATTTTTTTTAGTATTGAAATCAAATGGTCGACGACGAAAAAAATGCTCATGTGTTCACATTGGTCATGACATTAAACAATATTTTGGAACATAAAGGAGAAATAAAAACGCCACTTTTATAATATATTATTATTATTAAAAATTCTGTAACCATTAAATTAGAGTATAACATAGAGTAGAATCATATAATTTTTGTTTAATAAACATTAAAAGCAAAAAATATGAATACAACGGTACTTTTAGTATCTTTTACAAAAAGCTAAAAACAAGTAAGAAAATATATATACAGTTATTGCATTAAATATATATTTATATAATTTCATATTATGGTTTCAACGCTAAGAAAATAATTCCACATATTTAAATAAGTTAAAAACACCTACGACATAATTTGTTCGTTTTGTTGTTTTTGTGTGTGGTACGTTTTTCTAAATTTCTATTTCAAAAAAATAAGAAATATACTTTTGTAAATGATGACCACCATTAAGCGTTATCTAATTTCTTCTACATTAAATATCATTTCATTTTTTGCCACATTTTTGGATTAAAATAACAGTTAAGATTTAAAAATTTAGTACATCTCGAATATACAAAAAAAAAATAATTTATTAAAATAATTAACAAAATTTTGATCAGATCGCTGCTCTTTTAGTAATACCATTTGTCCAACAATTATTGTTTAAAAAATTTCAGATAAAAATCCATTTTTCAAAAAATAAAAATTAGTGTGCAAGAGTGCAATTATTTTAATGAGTATTTGTTAATTCAGACTTTCAATATTAACAACAAATAAATATAGAATTTTTAAACTGGAGGTAGGGCCCACAGAGTTGCTGTTTTGTCAGCGGATGTTGATAAGAATGAGAATTCTCCAGGATGCCAGCGTCCGGAAATCACTTTGTCTTGATGCTGGGCTACAACGACGCTTGGTAATGGCAGGGTAAGGTCTCCTAAGAAAACAAAAAATAATATCAGTTTTAAACAAATTTTAAACAGTGTGCGCCATAAAGTTAAAATTAGAATTCTCGCAAAATGTATTTATTTTCTTTAATATATTTTACATTTAGATTCAATCATCTGAGCTTATGTGTGGGATTAGAGCATCCCCACTATGATAATAGTGTCAAGTTCTTTACCATCTCAGTTCATGTCCCTTTAATTTTTTAGTGTCTAGAACAGATTTTTATTTTTAGGCTATCAAGTCTGCTCTGTATATTGATGTTATGTGTTTTCAAACTTGATAGAAATAAGAATTTAAACACTAAAAAATGGAACGGACATGAATTGAGTCGGTAAAATACCTGACAAGTATTATCACAGTGGGGGGTGCTTTAATCCCACACATGAACTCATATGATTGAGCCTAATTGTAAAATATATTAAATAAAATATAAATATTTTCCTAGTATTCTAACAAAAAAGAAATACCTTGATTTACCTAACCTGTGCACCCTGAAGCAATCGCGGGTTGCTCCAATTTCAAATTTTGTATTTTTTTTTAATTTTCGAACTTTTGTCATTCGAAATTTTCTAATTCGAAATTATTTCACCAAATCATTTTTGTGTACCAAGTACTGAACTTTCCATTAGAGAATAAGTTTAATGAGGAATAAATAGTAGTCACTAGAGACTATAACTTGATATTTTTAAACATTACTTAAATCGTTATTCCGATAATGGTGTTTTTTAATATCATTTTAATTTTGCATTATTTAATAACAATTTTAACAACTAACCTTGTAAGTCGGTCAAAACCAATTTATTATCATATCCAGCTGATAAAAGGTAATAGGCAGACGGAGAAAATCTAATAGACCTAACGTCGGCAGAATGCGGCTTGAAACATTGCACGTTCCTGCCTCCTCTAATATCGTACAACACGCATCCACTGTCTTCATGTCCGGAAACCAGTAGCCTTCCCGAAGGATCAACGCAAATGGTCGAAACTGGCGAACCTTGGCGAGTACCGGGTACAGTAATCGGGGTAACAACATTAACACAACCTCTGGTTCTAAGATCCCAGAATCTGACGGTCTTGTCATGGGAACCGCTAACGAACATAGCACCGCCCCACGTGTAGAGGGAGAGAATATGACCTATAAAAAGAAAGGTTTATAAGTAAAAATCAAATATCAATTTTATGACATATCTTATTTAGCCCAGGCAAGCTTAATTAAAAATAACGTGAACGTGGGTCAAATTGCAACCGTTTTTTAGTTCAGTAACCATTACTGAACAACATATAAAAATTGCGAAATGATGTGTCGTATTCAGTTGTTATATTTAATACAATGCAATTTTTTTTATGTATAGTTAGTTATAGCATGTTAAGAACTACTTTGGGTCCCCTACAATCAGACCTGTCACCTATCAGTGAGAATTAAATCATTTTTTGATTTAAATACATTTTTGATTTTAAATCTTTTTTAAAAAAAATGATTTTTGATTTATGATTTAAATCTTTCTGAAAAGTATCTTTGATTTTTTATTTAAAAATTAGATATAAATCTTTTTAAAACGATTTACATCTTTTCAAAATGATTTAAATCCGTAAAAATATTTGTAACTATAAAAACATTCAAGAGACGAGAAGGGAACTGAAATCATCTGATTCGTCAAAATCGTTATCAACCTGTCCATTCCTGAATAATAATCTAGTCAGCATGTCAGTAGGGTTGCCAACTCTGTGGATTAGAAATACGGGAGAAAAGAAAAACAAAAAATAGTAAAGTGTAACAAATAATTGCAATAACTAAAGATTATTCTTAAGTATGAAATTGTACAATATTTTTGACCCGATATTTTTTTTGTAAAGTTGTATTTTTTACACCGTAAGCAGCTGGAAATACTTTTTCATTATCGATAGAATCATAAAACTCTTTACATATGTATTTTAAATTTATGCACACTTTTATTTCAGATTTGACATGAGTTGAATTAAGACGATTATGACTTTTTGACCAGTTCAATAAACACGCTCGGCATAGGTAGAGCGAATTCATTATTTTTTTAAATTTCTTTGTCTGATTCATCCACACATTTTTCAAAAAAATTAAACCAAATGCGCCTCCTTTGGTTATTTATTTGCTCGCAATAACTTCACGTACTTCTACTTTAATTATTATCATACAGTTTATCCTCATGCATTTAGAGACATGTTGAGAAAAGAACTCTTCAACCCACTCAATTTCATTATTCATAGTTCAAGATCCGGGAGATTTTAGGTACATTCCTTAAGCCGGGAGATTTTGAAATTGAAATGCATTTTCCGGGAGATGTATGTGTATCTATGTAGGTGTTTATGTATGCATGTATGTATGTATGTATGTATGTATGTATGTATGTATGTATGTATGTATGTATGTATGACATTAAGCACGTTAACTTTCAAGGAAGAGTTGATGGATTTAAGTGATTTTTCAGAAAAAAAAAACATTTTTCTTAAAACTAGGTCTCCATTGTTTTGTGGCATCATAGGCATACCAAAAGTACCTTTTAAAGGGTTGAAAAATTCCTATTTACCAATCGACATGACATTTTTAAATAACAATTTTCATAACTATAGATATCAATGCTGCATAAATCCTTGAAAATTGTATCTCGATCGGATATTTATTATTTAAAATTAATATTTCCGTAAGAATTGCATAGAGCTAATAACGATAAAAAATAAATACGAGAAAAGTCTTTTGTTTTGTGGCTCATATGCCTACCGAAAGCATTTTTTAAAGAGTTACCCAAATCTATAAAAGATTTAAATCTTTTGAAAATATTTATTTCGTTTAAAAAGATTTAAATCTTTCCTAAAATGATTTAAAATGTAAAAAAGATTTAAATCTAAAAAATATTTTTGAAACTTTCTCATTTTATAACCTTAAACAGTTGAATTATATTATGAATCGAAATAAAGTTCTCCTGGAAATGTTTTTTTCTCTAAGCACTTTTATGCACACTTAATATCGATAATTCGTTTGAAAAACTCAAAACTAATGAATATTATTTTGATTTTAAAAATGCTGACCTCATTAATTTAAATAATATGCACTGATCAATTGGGATTACAAATACTTAGCAAAGCAATACATTGTTTTGTTCCACTTAAAAAACTGATTAGCTCTAACATTCCAAAATGGTTTTTAGCGGCCTTGAAGAAGCTCATTACTGAGAAAAAATAGCGTACGCAAGATATAAATGCTCATGCAACCTCAATGAATACTATTATTTTCTCAAATTTAAGGGCACAGTGTAAGTTCGTATCTACACAATGTTACAGTAATTACCTATCTATAGTGGACAGCGCAATCCAAAATATTCCCAAATTTTCTGGGGCTATAATAATCTTTAAAAAATAACTATTCCTTGCCAGGCACTATGTTCTTAAATGATAAGGCAGGTGTTTCCTCCCAATGCATCGTTGATTTATTTTCTGAATACTTTTCTAGTACTTACAGTCATGAAAAGTTTTTAATGATAAATTAAGCAATGGACCATATGGGATTCCTTCATACATTCTGAAAAAAATTTTTTTCACATTGACTCGTCAATTATCTTTACTATTTAATTCCTCAATAAAGTTAAATTATTTTGCAGAAATCTGGAAAAGTAGTTATGTGGTACCTATCTTCCAAAATGGCAACAAAAACGATATTCAGAATTAAAGACCTAATTAATATGCTATCCATTATTTCTAAACTTTTTGAAACATTAATTGTCTGTGATCTTCCTTAGTATTGTAATAATTGGATAATCGATTAACAACATGGTTTTTCCAGAGGTAAATCAACACTTACAAATTTGATGGTTTATGTTATTTCCCAATTTGGTGTCAATCTGCAGGTATATTATTAAGACTTCTTTAAAGCCTTCGATCATGTGAACCATTTATTATTATTATTACACAAACTTAATTTTTTAGGTTTTCCTGATCCTCTGATTTCATGGCTAAAACGCTATTTAACTGATAGGATCCAGTTAGTGAAGATTGGCAGCAGTACTTCAGACCACATTGTGGTGCCTTCTGGAGTCCCACAGTTCTCTCACTTAGGGCCCTTGTTGTTTCTACTATTCATCAATGACATTGGTAGAATTTTCAAAAATGCCAAGTTTCTACTTTTTGCAGATGACTTAAAACTTTGCATGGCTATTCGTAATATAATTGACTGTCTTCTACTTCAAATTGAAGTACAACCTCTTCATAATTAGTCTGTGAACAACTGTATGGCTCTCAATATTTCTAAATGTTACATGATTACATTTGGTAGGGTGCACAACAAAATAATGTTTGAATATTCTATTTGCGATACAGTTCTCAATAGCGTACCTAACTGAGATAAAAGACTTAGGAGTGCTTGTCGATGATAATCTTACATTTAACCTACATATTATCAGATCACTTGAGAAACTTTAAAAACTCTTGGATTTATACTGAGAAACTCTAGTGGTCTCTGCATAATATGTCAGATCCCTGCTCGAATATGGGTTGCCCATCTGGACACCTTTTTACAATGTCCATATTTCGTCTATTGAAGCTGTTCAGAATAAGTTTTTACAATACTGTGGATACAAATCATTAACAAAGACATTAATATAAACATATATTTAAGTATTTTAAAACAAAACCGTTTATACAAATAATTTAAACATTAACATAAGATTTGACAAATCTTTAAAAGTGGAAAAAAGACATGGTAGCTGCTTTTAAAATTGCTCTGAAGATGTAAAAAAATACCTCACTTTTTAAAATCACATGTGTAATTCTATTGTCGACATTAATTTAAGCATTAAGTTGGATTTCATTTATCTTCACTATGTTTATGTTAATGTTTATGCTTATGTTATTCTGTATAATCAGGTACACTGAAATATATTGATAACTTTTATGTTAATTATGTGAATGCTTAGAGAAGTAAATCAGGCTGACTAAGCACATATTTACATTGTACATATTTAAGTTTTTCATTGATTTCTCTTGACAGGTCTGATTTATATATCTGGAAAAATACTAAAGGAAGAATCAAACTAGAAGAATGGGGTTGGTATTTAAAAAATGACTCGTACTACCCAATACTCTGCGACTTACCACCAGTTCCAATTATTTACTCAAACTGATACGAAGTTCCTGCACAAAAATCTCTGTTTATAATACGATGGGGATGCAAGCGTAATGACCTACCCTGTTCAAAAGCTTATGAAATGTGCCAAATCAATAGATGTAAAAACAACAAATATGAATTTAATGAAAGTAATGAAAATTATTAAAGTTTTTTTAAAAAATATTTCTGAAATTAAACGAACTTTTAAGCAACAATTTGTGAGGAATCACCGCATCAAGAACTGTTTAAGATATGCATATTGTTTTTAAGATACGATATGCATTCTATAAAATGAGATATTTAAGGCTGATTTCGCGGTTCACTATTTTAGCATTATCCATGTATCTTAGTTATTTATCATCAGTATAATTTCATTTTTTGCTGAAGTATTCAAAAGAAACACCCTAATAATCTCTAGTCTTTTAATTTTTTTGTTACACCCTAGTTTTTTAAATAAAAATTAAAATTGAATATTAAATTTTATCAATTTGCAGATATCAATTTTTGGAAAACTGGAGTTTGTAGCTGATTTTTTCTATTTTTTTTTATATTTACAAGTTTTTGCTAAAATCAAAACCTAATTGAGTTTTGTAGTAAACCATTTTCCAATAATATTTTTATTTCGAACTTGTGAAAATATTTCCCTCTTTATCATATACCTGTAACCAACGGTAGCCTGGATTAGCAAATATAAAGTGATTCGGCCAGGGTCTAACTCGCTCTTTTAATTGTAAAAATTTAGTATATATTTTTTATTTTTTACGTGTTTTGTAACTAAGTATGAAAGAAAAGTCGTGCATTTACTAGCAAAAGGTTAGAATATTTTTATTATACATTTTACTAAAGAAAAAAAAAATTATTTGATTGATATGCGAATATGATTTTTATTCATTAATTTCCAAATTATATCGGAATTCATGAATATTTTGAGAAATATCTCGAGTCGAAAACAATGGACAATTTTCAAAATATTCCTAAGAACAGATTATATTAATTTTTAATTTATTGGAAATATTATAAAAGTAACCCGTATTATTTTGTTAATTTCAACTCCTAATGCATTAACACCCCACAATGTATTTTCGACAATACTCAGCTCATAATGAGTTGGTAAGTAAAAGTATTTTTGAAGCAGTTTGGGAGGTCATGGAACAAGTAGAACTGAAAGAATTGCAATTAGCAAAAGATATTGGAGAAGTAGATGAACAAGGAAATGGTCTAATTGCAGTGACTGTTGACGGTGCAAGGTCTAAAGTTAATTATAACGCTTTATCTGGAGTTGCGTGATTTTTCCATGGTCTACTTTAGAAACATTTTTATATTTAACATAAGATATAAAGGGTTTATTTTTAAATGCACTTATTTTTTACAGGTTTACATTATTGGGGCGAAAACTAGAAAAGTTTTGTATGTTTCTTCTAAAAGTAAGTATTGTCCTATCTGTGCTCGAGCTTTAACTAAAAACATAAAAGCTGCAACTCATAAATGTTCGAAAAATTGGGATGGTTCGTCGACTTCTACGGAATCGGAACTAATTTTAGAAGGATTCCATAATAGTATAAAAGTGCACAAATTAAAATATGTAAAAATTATTGGCGATGGAGACAGCAGTGTTTACCAAAAAAATTGCTTAGAGAGACCCTACGGAAGAACAATAATTCGCAAAGTAGAATGCATAACACATCTTCTCAGGAATTATTGCACAAATTTGCGTAATCTTGCGAAAAAAAAGTCAGGACTAAAAAAAATTTGAGTGATAGAATTTTCAAGTTACGAGTGGGAATTAAATCGGCTGTAAATTACCACATAAAAAATACCAGTGATATTGTTGACAACGTGAAGCAATTAACTGCGTTAAAAACTCTCCCTATAATCAGAATGTATTTTGAAAATCTCTATTAATGTATTGTGTTGTTTAAGGTTGTAATTCGAGGCCGAAAAGAAGGCTATAATTAAGTTTTGATAATTTTCTAAACAAAGATAAAAATAAAAAGTGATAATTCAAAATAAAATGCATAATCGACTTAGAACAATTTGTAATACTTTCTCAAAGACGGAAAAACCAGAGTTCTAATTCCATTGGGAGTGTGCTATTTGAATTTCACCTAAGATTTTTTATTAATGATTCAAAACTTCAATTAATTGATTTTTACAAAAACTCACCAGTATGACCGCTGAGAGCCTGAAACGGAGTCCCAGTAGCACAATCCGTAACGTATATTTTACAATCTCCAGCACCTCCACTGATCAACAAACTCGACTTATTCGATGTATCCTCCAGGAAACACAAATCCCTGATGGTGCCATCGTGCATGGTAAGTTCGATCTCGTCGCCTTCCAAATTGTTGGTCTCCGAATTGAACCGCATCAACTTGACGGTCTTGTCATTGGATCCGGTGGCCATCAGGTCACCGACAGGCGACCACGCCAAACAGTAGATGGAACCTTTGTGGTGTTTGGTTCGCTTGAAGAGCACTGTTGGTTGGTAAGTTTCGTGGTCTTCCCTGAAAAGATGTTAGATAAAATGTATTTGAAAGGACCAACACAGTATATTATAAGTATTCGGCTTAAATTTTTCTTGGGTATAGTACAAAACTATAAGGAGCAACATAAATAAGAATATTCATATGAAGCGGGAATAAGAGAAAGTAGAAGAAGACGTTGGCAATCGCATGATGCAGACCCATCAAATCCATCGACAGGCAAACAGAGTGGGATTTAAGGTATGCTCGCTCTTTATAAATGTATCGCAGTTCCTCCTGTTAATCGACAATACCTATGCCTATACCTATTTCAATTTGTGTTATAGACACGCAAAGTTTCAAATATGTTTTTCGGATTTGAAATAGGCATACTTTCAAAATATTTTTAGACATAGAAAATGTTACATTTTTGGTGGAAAAATAAATAAAAAATTAATTGAACACCCTTTACTTTATTTCGGTTTTAAAATGGTCTGGTAATGCTGTATTCAACCCTAGAATATTTTTGAAAATATTTCAGGGTCTTTTACCCAACATTTTTTGTGGTACGTATATGCATCACTCGGGGAAGGAAGTCATAAAAACATTAATAAAAATGTCAAATTCTCAAAAAGGAAAAATAAATAACACGTAGGGAAAACAAATCGAAAATTTTTAATTATTTTTTCTTAATGATTCAGTTTTGTTTTGATCTTGATAGCATATCATCATTTTTGTTGATATAACTGCGTTACTCTAAAATCAAAAGCTCCTTGACTCTGTCTGGTATAAAATAGTCACATTGATTATCAAATGGGGCTAAGAGAAATCCTGGTAAATATTTGTACCTCAGAGCCAGGGGCTGGTAACTCAAATGGAAAAACATGAGGAAGGTAATTTAGTACCACTCCAATTAACGGGATGGCGCTCATTTCGAAATGTCATGTCAGTTGTCAGCTCGTCAAAACTTCAAACTTAGAAAAATTAAAATGACTGTTGCATTTGAAGGTGTGTTTGGATTTGGATTCATCTAGATTTATTTTTCAACACCTTCCAATTTTAAGCTTGTTTTCAAAAGATTTTAGCAACGAACAATCAAGCACTCCCAAATATTGGTAGTGATGCAATTTATACCACATATTAAATATGCGGTCGTCATAAGGATACCCAAACAATTTAAGTTACTTAAGAAAAATGTATCTTGCACTGACCAATGGTAAGTAATATTTACAAACTTGTTTTTGATTCAGTGTTAAAATAATGGGTTTGTTATTTAAATTTATTTTTGTTTTCAGTTTTTAAATGATCATTGTTGTATAGAAAATGTTGGCCCTCCAAAATACCCTGTAGATTGATGAAATATTTGAGCCTCAGCTATCAGTATCAAAAATTGATTTAATGCCATTGGCCAAACAAGAAAACTTACTCCAAAAGCTTCATGGGTCCAAACGTGTGTAAGTTTAATTTGAGCTCGAAAGTTAAATTCATTTATCACAGTGCCCAGATGATGAATAAGAATTTAATAACTACAAGTGCTGTACAAATAAATCAAAACAATTATCAGATGAAGAAATGCTTCTCAACCTAACTAGTCGACTCAATAAGCATATGGCAAATTTTATCCACACTCAAATTCACCTTGATAGTAAGACACCAAGAGGATGATGCTTCAACTTTAATTTTTTCAAACTTATTTGCCACTCCAAGTCGCAAAACTTTTATAAAGGTCTTGAGCACTTATATATGCCGATTTTGTTACAGAAAACATTTTTGATAGGTTTGTTTTATAAATAATTATTTAAATGGTGTAAATGCATATTTATCTAAGTATTTCCATGTTTAAATAGACAAGTTATATGATGCGGCGTTAAATTACTGTAATAAAAAAAAAAATAAAATAAATTGCATTTTATTTAAAGTTTGAAATTAATGCAAAAATATAATGAAGTAAAATCAAATAAAAATATAAATTGACAAAATATTTGACTAGTTTCAAATCATAAAACAGTGAATATGTTTTTTTATGATTTATGATTTGAAACTAGTAAATATTTTTCCAATTTATATTTTTTGATTGATTTTCTTCATTACATTTTTGCCTAGCTAGCAGAAAACTAAATTTCAAAAATCCCGCCACGGCGGCCATATTGAATTTTAGTACCACTCCAATTTGATAGATGGCAGCACATCGACTCAGAATTTTACCATTGAGTCTCCCATCTATTCACATTAGTAATCTATGCTCAGAGCGCAACCTTGGCCAAAATGGTTGTTACGGTCGATATTTAAGTCAAATACAATAGGTAGATGATCCATAATAACACATGGTACATATGTACCAGCTGCTCCCGTTAAAGGGTTAATTGAAAGATTGAAAATGGTCGAAAATACAAACATGCTTACCTGAGATCTGTGAGTTTCGGATGGGCACATATTCGAAGCGTTTTCGAGTTCGAACCGACAGCATACAGTTCTCCTCCTGGGTGAAATTCCGCACATCGGACAGCCTGTACGTCTTCCAACGTTGTAACCGGTACGAATTTTGGTCTGTTGCCGTCGACGCTGTGTTCAGCTTCTCCCTTTGGCGTACCAATGGGAAGAGCATGCTAAAAAAATAACACAAAAAATATGTTATTAACGTGTTTTTCATATCATATATTGAATTAAAACATAATAGAAAATAAAAGAAGATAAATTACGTTCCTTTATGTCTATTTCTAAATACAATTACTTTTCTAATTACGAGGGTTGATCCCTTTGCGTCGCCCCCGATCTATTTATAAATCAAAACAATTATTTATATTCGCGTCACATTGTAACCTGTTATGTATACTCACGCTAGAACTTACAAGTCTGAACCTGTTGAAGCGTGCCTACAGTAGACCCCCGAATTTAAGAGAGTTACATCTTCATCTTAGTAACAAAGCGGACCGTGTCGAGCAACGAGCGGTAATTAAATACTTGCCGATAAAACAGATGACCCCAACACAAATTCATGAAGATTTGGTGGATACATTAGAGGAATCTGCAGTATCATATGACTTAAAGTGAAAATGTAGTGTTTTAAGTTTAGATACTCGTGAACAAACGAACATGCAGCTGGTGCGTCCACAACCGCTACTTCACTTAATGTCGTGATGCAAGATCGACGTGTGACTATTAAGACAAATAGTTGAAGATATAAAATGCTGGAACAAACTTTGATTCTGGCTTCTCAATTTTCAACTTTTGTAACCATGCATTTCCTGCATCCACAAGTTCAGAATTTCCACTTGCATTTTATAAAAATTACCCTACATTTGTCAGCTTTAGGAAGCAGATCAAATGTAAGAGAAGGGTCAGTTGTTTTTTTTTTTTTTTCAGGGCTGCATTGAGGCATATTCGCTCCGTGCGCGACCGCAGCGCCAATTCGTTTTGGTATTAATGGACTATTTCTGTGTATACTGACAAATACAATTTTTAATAGAATTCGTAATTAAAAAGTATATATATGGATTTGTAAAACAAGTAAAACATTAATTTATTATTATTATATATTTTTAACGCTTAAATTAAAGAAAATTATGTATAATCAATGAAAATCAATAATAAAATATATGCAGGCAACAGTATTTACTGGAAAATGTATGAGAAGTTGCCTAAGTCTAATAAGTTGTCATTGAAGAATTAGCCTGTTGTCAAAATAAAAAAATACCATTTAATAATAGCATGAAGTTAAAATGTATAAAAAAAGGATCGCTATTTATATTTTCATTTTTGTTCGAAAGAAAACAGAATGAATGATTAAAACTGGTTTCTCATCAGTAAGTCACAAAATACATTCCATCCACATATAATAATCAAAGTCAGAAATCTTGAAATCTAGTCCTTGCTGAATGAACATTTAAGAACATCGTAAAATGATAATTTATTGTTTATTTAAAACCTTTCAAGTTTCTGATGTCAACTATTTACAGCATTACTGTTATTATTACAAAAATAAAGGTAATTTTTCTTCTTATTGTACATCTATCCATTTATTTCTTTGATTTAATTTCCACTTTGCTACTGACATTTTTTATATAAGTTTCACTGTTTTTTTTTGCTAGTATTTGTACAATGGGGCATGTTCAAAAATTTTGAAATTTTTTTTATGAATAGTAGAGTTAAAAATAAAACTACAATTTTTTTATTTTTTTTTATCTATTCATTTGCCGGAGTTATGAATTTTTTAAAAATTTATGACGTCACCGGGAATAGACCAATAGGAGCTAGCGCACAACGTTGCCGGCTAGAAGGTTTACGAGAAGTGATGTACGTTCGTTTGTGTAATCCTTCTTACTTTTAGACTTCTAAAACATCGTTAAACAAATATCTTTTAAATATATAATATCAAATGTGTTTTGAAAGTATTATTTCTGTTTAAACTTTTACCATATTTAACGTTTCATTGTTTTCAAAGTCACTTAATAATTCAGAAAATGGCAAAATGGCAGCACTGTGTATGGCAGCACTGTGTATGGCATCTGTCATCATAGTGTCTCGATCAAGATATTATTTGGAATTTGAGTGTTTAATTTTGTACTTTTTATAAATATTATGACTACGAAAAAGTGTTTTGTTCCAGAATGTGATAATGATTCACATTCATTTTCAAAAATATTTATTAGTGTTCCTAGAAATTTGGAAAGAAGAAAATCAACCTTCTACTAGCGATGTTTCTCGTAAACTTTTTAATAAAAATACACCGGATTATCAAGATATAGCAGCAATTTCTGCTAATTGTCCCCTTCAGGAAATTGAAAATTAGGATACTATAAATTCTTAGGTGAATAACCTAAAAACCCTTCTGGAAGAAAATGCAGAATCTCCTGAAAGTTTTGAAGATACCGAATTTATTCTTCATTTTGTGGAAGAACTAGTGATAAAGAAATAATAGAAAAATGTGGGTATTTAAACAAACTGGTTCCTGGATCCCATATAATGGCAGATAGGGGTTTCAGAATATTCAGCTACTTGAAAACATGTGATGCACTTTAGTAAAGCCACACCTAGTGTATCACAGAATGAAAAAAGTTCTCCAGAAGATGTACAATTAAGTAAAAGAATCGAGAAAAGAATAGCATCTCTAAGAATACATGTGGAAAGAGTTAGTTAATTTAATTTAACATGTTAAAACCACATTCGTGTGTGAATTTTAAGCAAGTACATTTACTTAGTAATATCTGCATAATTGCTTGTTAACTTACAAGAACCTATTTTGTAAGAGTAAATATTAATTTAATAATTTTTTTTTGTTTGTTTTTTTAATTTAATTTACCTAATTATCACATTTCAGGGATTATAATGAGTTTTTAAACAGCCAATGTAATTTTTTATAAAATTTTAACTTTTCGAACAAATCAAAGAGGAATGAGTACCTGTATATGCATAGATTTTTTTGGGACTAAAACTACCAAAACAAAGGCACCTATTTACAGCAGTTTAAAATGAAACAATTTGACAAAAACGCCTATGTCACAGTGATAAATATTAAAAACAACCAAGTTCAGTTGAATGTGGTAGCAAAGTCTATATATTCCAATAAATCGGGTAACTACATGTGGTATCACTGGTGATAAATTTAAAAATATCACAATTCTTGCCACCTTTTTCAAAAAACCAGAAAGTGTGCCTTCATACCAATCCTTTATGAAAATGACAACAGTGATAAATGTGAAAAAAAAATTTAATGTTGCTATTCGTTATTATGACAGTAAAACATGTTTGCAGTTCCGTTTATTTGTTATGAAAATCTAAGTAAAAACAACCAATGTCAAAGGGTTATAATTTTTTTTCTGTCGAACCAAATATATCACAAAATTTAAAAATTGATCATAGGTCAAGCTAAAGTAATATCTTTATTGATACTAGCTTTAAAAAAGGAGAAAGAATAATATTGACTTAAGTTATTAACATTGGTGATTTTTAATAAAAACTCTTCAATTATTGTTTACAAACAAAAATATAAAAATCTGTGAAAATTTTATTTATTAACCTTTTAATAAAATATGAGAAAAATGAAGTAAAAAAACAATTTATTTACAAATAAAAAATATATACAAATCCTAAGAATATAAAAGTACTGATATATTTTCCTGTAGTGGATGAAGAGGTTTCTTTAACAATCTAGCCAAGTGTACATCAATATTTACGCATTTTGATAAATTAGAGCCTTTCCAATAACACTGAGTAGATGTTACAGATGGTTCCTCACTTCTTCTATGAAGCCACATATTTACAACCAACTGAAAAAAATAAAAGGGTTAGATATGCAGTTACAAAATAACTATATAACCAGCTACAAAATGCCTTTATTTTATGTAACAAGACGAGCAGAGCTTTACTAGCTCTGAACGAATCCAGTAAAGAACCTCGGATTTTCAAAACTTAAAAAAAAAACAACCTCACCACATTTTCACATTTTTGAAATATTATAGAGCTTTTCAAAAAAAACTGCTATTTTTAAAAATACAATTTTTTGTTTAAACAGCTATGTCTCATTTTAGGCTATTGAGTATTATAAAATAAAAAATTACGGGATGCTTTGTTAGCTTCAAACGAATCCAGCAGAGCACCCCAGTTTTTTTTTTAAACCACACCACGTTTTTTGGCTCCTACAATATTATAAAATATTCGAAATTTGGCATTTTAAAAAAGATTCGCAATTCCTTGCTGACTTCTAAAAACAAATGTACTTACCACATTTTTAGGATTTTAAAACAGCCTAAACATGTGTCATAAGTAGTTGTTTTTATATATATATATATATAAAAAAAACAAATTAAAAAACTGAAGTGTCCTGCTGACTTTGTTCCAACAAAGCACCCTGTATTATTTAAAATAGCGATTTTTTTAGTAAAGTTTTACAATATTTCAAGAGTCTAAAAATATCCTAAAAATGGGGTGTGGTTTTTGAAAAAAGCTTTAAAAAAACCGAATTGCTCTGCTGGCTTCTTTCGAAGGTTAGCAAGCACCATGTATTTTTAAAAATATAATATTTCAAGTTGCTGTTTTTACAGAAAAAACTTTATAAAACAGAGGTGCTTTGCTGACTTCGTTCGAAGCTATAGAGCATTTTAAGTTTTGCAAAAAACGAGGAGCATAACATTTTTGAAAAGGGTATAAAAATAGCCTATTCTTTGGTATCATAATTATTACTAGGTTCACTAACAAAATCTGTTTCTAGATTATTTTAACACTTACTGCGATTACAAAAAATGTCTATATGTCAAAATTAGAAAAAAAATATTTATAGTAATAAAGGGCCTTATACACTGTTTATTATATGTAATATAAAAACAAAAAAGCATAATAAATATTACAAACCTTGACATGCAGCATATTGTGCACTAAAATTTTCATTTTTGTTAATTACAACAACAACATCAGAAGGTTTTTGCCGTACTTTATGTTTAGGTGTAATTTGTCTCTTATGGAAAAAGAAATTATCCCCATATTCTTGCTTGGCAGATCTAAAAATAAAACCTGAGATAAATACGTTTTACTTGCTCCATATAAACTGTAACTACCTACTATTAAAACAAAGTCTTACCTTTCTAACTTTTGTAAACTGAGTATTGTTAAA